CCAAACAACAATGACCGCTGCAACCAAAAAATAGCCGGGCGTTGTGGCCGGTGCCTGTGGTCCCAGCTACTTGGGAGGCTGAGGCAGGAGACTCTCTTGAGCCCAGGAGTTGGAGGTTGCTGTGAGCTGTGATGCCACAGCACTCTACCCAGGGGGACAGCTTCAGTCTCCTGTCTCAAAAAAAAGAAAAACAGAATATGGAGGCCGGGAGCTATGGCTCATGCTTGTAATCCCAGCACTCCGGGAGGCAAGACAGGCGGATTGCCTGAGCTAGAGCTAGACCTCCTCTCTAAAAATAGCCGCGCGTTGTGTGTGTGTGTGGGGGGCACCTGTAGTTCCACCTACTCGGGAGGCTGAGGCAAGAGAATCGCTTGAGCCCAGGAGTCTGAGGTTGCCGTGAGCTATGACAACAGAGCACTCTGTACGAGGGACAACAAAGTGAGACTCTGTCTCAAAAATAAATACATAGGGGCGGTGTCTGTGGCTCGGTGAGTAGGGCGCTGGCCCAGTATACCGGAAGTGGCGGGTTCAAACCCAGCCCCGGCCAAAAACTGAAAAAAAAAAAAGACAAGAAGAAAGTGTGGGCGTTAAAGAGGTTAAGGGGCTGATCACTGTGCCAATGACTTCCCCTTACCACCGCCCTGCCCCACACAATCACAACCTTGGCACTATTCTCAGTAACCTTTCGTGGGTCAGTTTCCTCCACGCCAGACGTTTGCAAAAAGTGGCCCTGGAAACTTGTGGGGAATGCAAATTCTCAGGCTCCACCCCAGGTCTTTCTAATCAGATAGTCGGGGGGCGGGGCTCAGCAACTGGCATTGTACCAGGTGATCTTGATGTCCAGCCAAATTTGGGACTTAGTGCTCTGTCCCGCTGTCAGCCCTCCGAGGGGCACTGTGGCCAGCCTTCTTCCCTCTTTCCTGTCCCCAGTGCCTAGCATCTAGCAGGCGTGTAATAAATATTTGCCGAATGCATAACAACGAAGATGACAATAATGTAGCTAGCCATTGACTGAGGACCTCCTGCGTGCCAGGCTCTACCCTGAACGGTGTTGGACGATTAACTCGTTTAAGCAGCAGGTATCATTTTTACAGTTGGCGAAACTGAGGCTCAGGAGGCCACGCGCCGAGCCCAGGGGTTGCCCACAGAGAGATGGCACTGTCCCTCAGTCCCCCACGGAGCCCAGCGGCCGCGCGTGTCTGTGGCCCTGCGAGGGCGCCCCCACCCGGCACGCCGGGCTGACGGGAACGACGCGCTGGCGGCTGCGGGGCGGCGGTTGGCGAAAGTGCGGCTGCGGACGCGCGGAGAGGCGGGCGGCGCGGATGAGGAAGCAGCGCCGGGCGGCTGCAGCTCCGGGGATTGCGGGGCAGGGGCGGGCGACATGGGGCGCCTGCACTGCACCCAAGACCCGGTGCCGGAGGCCGTGGGCGGTGACATGCAGCAGCTGAACCAGCTGGGCGCGCAGGTGGGCCCGAGGGGCGCGGGGCGCCGAGGCTTGGGTGATCGCGGGAGGCTGCGCGCGAGGGTAGGCCCGGGGGTGTCCAGGGGCTGCGGAGAGTTGGGGGGACTAGACCAGGGGGAGTCTGGTGCGCGTTTGGGGTGTGGGGTGAACTCGGGGACGGGCTAAGGGGACTTGGGGAGCCGAGGAATCTCAGGAGGCCTAAGGAGTTTGTGGGGACTCGGGCATGAGACTAGGGGATTTCTGGGGGAGGCCTGGGACCGAGGAGAGCTTCTGGGGTCTTAGAAGAGTGAGTGCGTGGGGTCGTGCCCAGGCGAAGGAGTTCGGGGGACTTAAGGAATACGCTAAAGGAGCTGGGAGCCTGAGGGAGTTTGGGGGGAGGCGGTGGACTCCAAACGGAGGCGTTTGATAGGAGGCCACGGGAGCTTGTGGGGACCGAGGAAGGTCTGAGCATCGCGGGTCCAGTAAGGGGATCCAATGTGCGTGTCAGTTAGACCAGAGAGGGGCTCTGTGGGCCTGAGGACCAGGTCTGGAATAAGGCCCCAAGTTTAGGACAGTTCCTGAAAGTCCCCATGGAGAAAAACCGTATACACTGTGCACAGTGGAGGCCCCCATCCTTGATGGCAGTGCAGATGGCAGAGCTTTTTTGACCTCCCCAGGCTGCAGGTGCCAAATTAACCTGGGAGGCATCTTGATTCTGTGCTGCTTGGAATGCCCCTTTAATACCAGAGGCAGGCTAAAAAAAAATAGGCTAATGTAATACTTCTCATCACCCCAACAAAGACGCATGTTTCCCCCACTAGGTTGTGATAACTTCCCAAGAGATGGGACTGCGCTCTTTCATCTCAGTATTCCCCACAACTTCCTGCACTTGTAGCAGGCTTCTGTGTGGAATAAAAATCAAACTTATAATGATGATTATGCTAGGCATGTTCTAAGCTTGAGTTATCCAGTAGAAATAAATTGTATGCCACATGTCTATGTTTTCTTTTTTTTTTTT